TTGCACTGCCTGCCTGTTTGCACTGCCTGCCTGTTTGCACTGCCTGCATAGCCTTCACTGCCTGCCTGTCTGCCTGCATTGCACTGCCTGCCTGTCTGCACTGCCTGCCTGCCTGCTTGTCTGCACTGTCTGCACTGCCTGCCTGCCTGCCTGCACTGCCTGCCTGTCTGCACTGTCTGCACTGCCTGCACTAACTGCACTAACTGCACTGTCTGCCTGTCTGCACTGCCTGCACTGCCTGCACTGCCTGCCTGTCTGCCTGCAGTGCCTACACTGCCTGCACTGCCTGCACTGCCTGCCTGCCTACTTGTCTGCTTATCTCTTGGTGTCAGAGTCTGCAATTGGTTTCCCTGCCCCTAAAACAACAGATCCACAATCCTCAACTTATACATGGTTCCCAGCAAGTGTTCCACCCACTAGCCATCCCTAGCCAATCACACGCTGCACCGACACTGCGGACAGCTCTATAGATAAGATCTGTGTCCTCACAGAGAAGCAGTTTGGCTGTGCCTGATCTGTGTGCGTGAATCATACAACCGAAATCCCCTGTATTTCTAGTTTTGAACAGTTTTGTATAAATTACTGCAATGAGAAACTACAGCAGCTCCTGATAGAGAGGACGCTGAAGGCAGAACAGGCCGAGTACGAATCTGAAGGCATCGAGGTGAGCATTGGATGTGTGTCTAAGAGAGAAGGCGGGGAGACACACACACACACACACACACACACACACACAGAGAGAGAGAGAGAGAGAGAGAGAGAGTCAGAGACACAGAGACAGAGTCAGAGACAGACAGACAGAGAGAATAAGCATCTGAAACGGAGGTGGGTGGGAGGAAGGAGAGAGAGAGGGAGGGAGGGAAGGAGTGGGTGCAGGGCTGACAGTGGATGCACAGCTTTGAACACACTGGTAAAACACTCTACCTCCTAGCTCCACCCCGACCCCTCCTCATTTCTTGAATTGAGGACTTCCTAGGAAAATAGTTGGGATATCTAGAAAGTATCTGTAGTGAGAATTTTAGAATTGGGGTTTCTTTAAAAAAATACAAATGTTATAGGAAATGTGTTTTCATTTTCATCCCAGGTGTGGGTTATGGGGCCACTTCCGACCATCCACAGCAGCTGACTATGATTTGCCTCGTGCTCTAGCAGGGGCGTGGTTTTGCCAGCTGCAGCTAGTTTCTGTGCTTGTGCGATGTTTGGGATTCTGGGAACTTTTCAGAGGGTGGATAAACGCTAGGGCTCCAAGAGAGTTGTTTGTTGCCAAGAGGAGGTATGGTTGGTGGTTGATTGTTGTTGGTCTCGGTTTTTTAAGTAGTCATGTGCAAAAAAAAAAATTAACAGGGGCTGGAGAGATGGCTCAGTCGTTAAGAACACTGATTGCTCTTCCAGAGGACCTGAGTTCAATTCCCAGCAATCACATGGTGGCTCACACCATCTGTAATGGGATCCAATGTCCTCTTCTTGTGTGTCTGAAGAGAGATTCAGCATTCTTATATATACATAAAATAAATAAATCTTACACACACACACACACACACACACACACACGCATGCACGCACACAAAATCAGACATCCTGACAGTGAAGATTGAACTTCCTCAAGGACCCCGATGCCCTAATCAGCAGGAATTAGTCTAACAATATAGGTCACCCCCTTTCCGACCCCGACTTTATTCAGGATGTCTTTCCTCTCTGTCCTTTTCTCTCTCTCATCTGGTGTTAGGGGTTGACAAGGTGGAAGAAAAATAACCCACAAGGTAGCAAAGACTGGCAACAAGCATCATTTAAGAATTTTTAAGTTTCAGCACTGTGTGTGTGTTTGCGTGTGTGCCGTGGGTACAGGTGCACATCCAGGGCACAGAGGTCACAGAGTCAGTCCCCCCACCCTCTTTTCGTGGGTTTCAGGGATCAAACTCAGGATATGAAGCTTGTGCCGCAGACACCTTTACCCGCTGACCCATCTCTCCAGCCTCAAAATTATCATTCTTAAAAAAGATTTCTCTCTCTCTCTCTCTCTCTCTCTCTCTCTCTCTCTCTCTCTCTCTCTCTCTCCCTCCCTCTCTCTCTCTCTCTCTCTCTCTCTCTCTCTCTCTCTCTCTCTCTCTCTCTGTGTGTGTGTGTGTGTGTGTGTGTGTACCTTATTGCAGGTGCCTGTGGAGGCCAGAAAAGCATCAGGTTCCCCTGGAGCCAGAGTTATAGACAGTTATAAGCCACACGATGTGCATGCTGGGAACTGAACTTGGGTCTTCCTCCATGAGAACAGAAAATGTTAACCCCTGAGTCATCTCCCTTGTTCCCCAAAGTATAACTTTTTAAGGTTAGATATGAAAATAAGATTTAGAGATAAGGAAATATTTGGAGGATCCAGGTCAGGCCAGTGTGCTCGATGCCCTGTGCATGCTGGGAGAGCCCTTCCCTCTTGTCCTTTCAGTGGGAGCCTGTCCAGTACTTCAACAACAAGATCATCTGTGATTTGGTAGAAGAGAGACACAGAGGAATCATCTCGATTCTGGTGAGAAAACTGTGACCCGGGTCACTGACTAGGTGTCTGCCACAGGCAGATAAATGCTGCCCAGGGCTCAAAGGCCTAGAGGGAGAGGCCTGTGTAACCCCAGCAATGAGGGAAGTCTGAGGCCAGCCTGCTGGACTACATACTAAATTCTATAGACTAGGCTACAGAATGGGGGTGTCTCAGTGTGTGTGTGTGTGTGTGTGTGTGAGTAGGTGTGTGGGGCAGGTGAGTGGGTGTTGGGCAGTGATTGTGGGGGGAGGTATGTGTGTCTGTGTGTATTTGAGTGAATGGGTGTGTTTATATGCGTCGGTGTGTGTTTATGGGGGTATGTATGTGGGGGTGAGTGTGTGTGGGGAGTTGTGTGTGTTTGTGGGGTATGTGTGTGTGTGTGTTTATATGTGTCAGTGTGTGTGTTGGGTGTGTGCGTGAGGAGGTGTGAGTGGGTGGGTGTGTGGTATGTTGGGGGAGGTGTGTGCGTTTATATGTGTCAGTGTGTGTGTGTTGGGTGAGTGTGCGTGAGGAGGTGTGAGTGGGTGGGTGTGTGGTATGTTGGGGGAGGTGTGTGCGTTTATATGTGTCAGTGTGTGTGTGTTGGGTGAGTGTGTGTGAGGAGGTGTGACTGTGGAGGGGGCGTGAGTGGGTGGGTGTGTGGTGTGTGTGGGGAGCAGTGTGTGTGTCAGTGTGTTGTGTGGGGGGGATGTGGGGATGTGTGTGTGTCAGGTGAGTGTGTGTGAGGATGTGTACGTTGACTGTGGCCGACTGAGTAGAGTCATTGTTGAGGAAGTTAGCTCGCAGGGATAGAGAGAGGCGTGGTCCCGGCTTGGCTGCTTCTGCAGCTTTCTTCCCACGAGGCCTTCACGCTGTGCACGCAGTTGTTCCTGCTCCGTGATCGCTGGTTAGGAGTGTTTCAGTAAGCTGCCTCAGCAACCCTGAGTGTCTTCGGGAAAGTCTGAAGATACGGTCAGACCGGGGCATGGTGGGGCACGCCTCTTATCCCAGCGTTCAGGAGTCGTGAGCTGGAGGCCAGCCTGAGCTACGTATCAAGTCACCAAGTGTCGGAGAGGAAAGAAAAATGAATCAGACTGGGATGTGACGGTGCACGCCTGTCACTCCAATGCTCAGTAAGCTGAGGCAGGAGGATTATAAGACCACTCCAAGCTACCCAGCAAGATCCTAACTAAAGGCAAGGGAGAGGGAAGAAAAGAAAGAAGGGAAGGAGAATGAAATGAATGAATAAATGAATGAATGAATGAATGAGTGGGTGAGTGAATGAAAAGATACAGGCCAGCGTGTGAGCTGGCCAGCACCCGTAACCTCAGCACTGAGAAGACTAAAGCAGGAGTTTGAGGCAACCCGGAGACACAGCCAAGTCTTGCCTCAAAAGGAAGGATGAGGGGAATGAAAAAGGAAGCAGAAAAACACTAGTCAGATGCAGGGAGGTTGACTCTGCGGCATTTCTCAGTTCTCTGGGGTGGAGGCTCCCTCCGGCAGCCCCGGGGTCCCAGCATAAGTGATGGCTGACCCCTTCCTCTCACTGGCTTCGTGGAAGGTGACAACATTTTTTTTGTTTGTTTGTTTTGTTTTTTCAAGACAGGGTTTCTCTGTGTATCCCTGGCTGTCCTGGAACTCACTCTGTAGACCAGGCTGGCCTCAAACTCAGAAATCCGCCTGCCTCTGCCTCCCAAGTGCTGGGATTAAAGGCGTGCGCCACCACCGCCCGGCTAGGTGACAACAATTTAATCTAGGACATTCAGCTGCTGCTAGTGGAAGCTCTTAGACCTCCGAGTCAGTCAGCGCATGCGCTGGTGTGAGGCTGAGCTGTCTTCTTTCCATTTGAAAGGATGAAGAATGCATCCGTCCAGGCCCCGCAACGGACTTGAGTTTCCTGGAGAAGTTGGAGGAGAAAGTGGGCAAGCATGCGCACTTCCAAACGTGCGTACTTCCAAGCATGCGCACTTCCAAACATGCAAGAAAGTGGGCAGGCATGCGCATTTCCAAACGCGTGAGAAAGTGGGCAACCATGCGCACTTCCAAACGTGCGTGCTTTAATTATTTGAAGGGCTGTTGTATGGAGAGAAAGTTATATTTCCTTTATTGGACCTGTATCCAAGTACAAGTACTTTAGGGCCGGAGAGGTGGCTCAGTGGGTACCTGCACTTGTGCAAGCATGAGACCCCGAGTTCAGACCACAGCCCCCACCTAAGAAGCTGGGGATGGCTGCACTGCTCCATAAGCCCAGCTAGCTGCCAGCCTAGCTCCAGGTTCTGTGAGAGACCCTGCCTAAAAGAAAGAGGCAGAGATGATCGAGCAGGACACCAGTGCGTGTCCTCCTCAGGTCTTTGTGTGTCCAGCACATATACATGTTCACTCATACCACACGCATGCGTGCATACAGCGCAGTGACCTCACACACAAACACAGCATCCTAAAAACTGGCTCATGTCAGTATGGTCTTGAGAGTAGAAATCAGACTGATCGGAACAATTTAGGTCAAGTAGGGACAGCCAGATGCGATGACACGAGCGGGCTTGCCATCCCAGCGCTTGGTCAGGAGGCTGAGACAGGGAATTGGGAGTTCAAAGCCAGCCTGGGCCACACAGAAAGACACTGTCTCAAAAGACCTTAAAGCAGACAAATATGTGGGACCTGCTGACAAGGGCCGTGGTTAAACCATGTCTCAAAAAAGCAAACAGAACCCCCCTCGCTGGTTCGCGGCTAACCACGGAATTGAACATAGGACATAAGCAAAAGCAGCATCAACAGCCGGACGTCAAGAAAGCCACATCAAAGATGGCGTCCCTCCTGAGATCTCAAAATGGCTTGACAGGGAGTCTCCAAATATTTTCTCAAAATCTGATTTTCATATCCAGTGCTTTTTTAAAAAATATTTTAAAAAGATTTATTTATTTATACGCATGCACTATAGCTGTCTTCAGACACACCAGAAGAGGGAATCGGATCCCATTGCAGATGGTTGTGAGCCACCATGTGGTTGCTGGGAATTGAACTCAGCACCTCTAGAAGAGCAGTCAGTGCTCTTAACCACGGAGCCATCTCTCCAGACCCCCATATCCAACTTTAAAAGACTAACTTTAACTTCTGAAGGCTGGAGAGATGGCTCAGCAGGTAAGAACATTTACGGACAGTCACGGAAGAACACACATCAACACGGGTTCATAAATAAACCACGGTTTGTACAGAACTACTTGAGTTTGAACACTGGGAGCATGGCTCAGCAGTCAAGGCATCTATGTCGGAGCCCTGGATTCAGCCTCCAGCACCGATGACAAACAAAACAAATCTGGCTTTGGAGAGCAGCCCCAGCACAGCCTCTTACTGAGCGGGAGAGATGGGCGAGCAGTCTGTCCTGCAGAGTAGGCTGTTTCCATATTCAGTGACTGTCCACAGAAATCACCATCTGCAGGGCCCCATCTGACACGGAACCATATAGATGAAGTTTATATGCAAATGAAGTGACCCTGGAGAAACACACTGCCCTATATTCACAAATGGCCTCTCACTGGGACTTAGGGTCTGTCCCTTAGGCTAGGCTGGCTGGCCAGTGAGCTCCAGGGACCAGCCTGTCTCCAACCACCACCCCCCACACACACCCCCGCCTGGGTTCTGGAAATCAAACTTGTGTCTCGTGTTTGCATAGCAAATGTTTTGCCAAATGAACTATTTCACCGTGGATAGGTTATTTCTCCGACGCTGGGGAAATGAGCCAATTTAAACCAGATTAGATTAGATGAGGAGGCAAGTTTACTGAGAAGCTGCTCTTGGGTGGCCCCAGGGACCGAGGCCAGGGAAGTTGCCATGGGGAAAGTGGGGGTGGGGAGTAAGGGAGGAAGAGAAAAAGAGGTACACACACAGAGAAAGAGGAAAAGAAGGAGAGAGAGACCAAAATGCCTGGATTGTATAGGGAGGAGCCTCTGGGGGAAGGGCAGCCCAGTCCCTGGGCTAGAAAGTTCAGGGTTGGGGGCAGGGTATGCCAGGTAGGGACTGAGGGATGCTGGGAGAACCTGGAGGCCAGGTCTGTACAATATGTACTTCAGTCCCTTGTCCTAGGGTCTGAAACCAAACAAATATACCTTTAGAAAATTACATATATTAATTTACTTATTTGAGTGTGAGAACATGCCCATGGATACATGTATCACACTGTTTGGAGGTCAGAGGACAGCTTGGGGAGGGCGTCAGTTCTCTCCTTCCACTAGGTAGGTCCCAGGGATTGAACTTGGGTCATCAGGCTTGGTGGCAAGCCCCTTTTCCTGCTGAGCTGTTTCATTGGGTTGGGTCTTCCTTCTCTTCCTTTGTCTTCCTTCTTCTTTCTTCTTTCTTCTTCTTGGCTCCATGATTCTCTGAAGAATGACAGCCCAGATAGAGCATTTTATTCTACAGAAGTCCAGCATGCTGAGGTCTACCGTCTACAAGATGGAGGTACCCCAGTGAGCTCGAAGATCCTATTTAAAGCACATTAGGGAATCCTGGGGCGGGGTAGGTGACCTCTATCTTAATCTGTAGGCTCTGTCTCTAGGGATATTCCAGAACCATTGTTGGGGTGTGGAGGTGTTGAAAACTGTTGCTGGGGAAGTCTGGAAACTGTTGCTGACCCATTGCCCTCACCTCAGGCTAGGCGGCAAGGCAGCTTCTGATGATGGGGCAGCTTCTGATTGGCTGCCTGAGGCCTGGAGTTTTTCCAGTAATTGACTTTCCTGGACTTGCTCAAAAGCAGAGATTTGGGCCTAGTTTCCTTCCTCCCTCTCTCTCTTCTCCTCCTCCTCCTCCTTCTCCTTCGTTCTTCCTTCCTCCTCCTCTTTCTTCATCTTCTTCCTCTTCTTTCTTCCTTCCTCTTCTTTCTCTTCCTTATAGTGGGACTTTCTAGATCTAGACCCACCAGTGGTTAAATAACGAC